TATTTTTTTACCATTTTGTAGAGAATAAAAAGTTACGCAACATATATAAAATTCAGTCTGGGGACTCTTGATTCTGAAACATAGCAGGAGATACACTGTTTAATTTGGACTGATCAAAATGACTAGCTTTGACTCATATTAGCTTTATAAAACTAGAATTGGTAGAGATTATATTGTATCAAAATAGCTTATTTTGTTCAGCTTTTAATTCTCTGTCTTCTTATGTATACCGTGAAAATTTTCGACAATCTGTTGAAACGTAAGCTGGTACATCTTTTATAGGATATTTTTTCTTTTTTTCCCCAAAAAGGTGTGATAGTGTTAAAAGTCGGTATTGACTAACTTTTCATAGGAAGGGTATTAGAACCTAAAAGTTTAGGGTTAGCAGTTTTAGACATTGAAGTTTTGAATGAGCAAAAACAATCGAAAAAAAAAATTTTATCGAGTGCTTCGTATATTCGATGCTCTCATAGACGCTCTCTTAAGATACTCGTCCAATCTGTTTCTTGAGTATGTGAAATTTAATCGTGTATTGATGAAATAAAAAGTTGCTGAACTTGTTTGATATATTTTTTATTCTACTACTATTGCCTGTGATAGACTACGTGTACCATATTTATGAAGGATTAACTATTAGAAGAGACGAGAAAGGAAAGATAAAAGAAGAACAAAGAAACAACCAAAAACAGAATGCACATGGATGAAAATATGATTCAATATTATAGTTATATCTTACACAAAACTAGTTCTTGTCGAAAGTTTATTATTATGGTACTAGTTGAATAGGGATGAAATAACACAGAAAAATAGAGCTTCGTTTTCTCTATCATTCCATAAAAAATGAAAACTTCCTCAAGCCTTCTATAAGAAAATACAGTACGTCCGTCATTACTTTTGGGTACCCCTAAATATTTTTCTGGTGACGAAAATGTTTCCATGTTTTGCATGAAATGAGTAGCACAGATTCTGTTTAGTTTTAAAATATCAGTAAAATATTTTAAACTTCTTTCTGTATAGAATTACATGACGAAACTTCTGTTTGATAATTTGGAACTTGATGGTTATTTAATTGGTACTAAATCCGGGCAATACAGTTGAAATCTTGTCAATGTATCTTTGATGTTTGAGAATGATCCTGCGGAATTGACTGATTGTAACTTTTAATATTTCAACGATATCAGTTACAATCAAATTATGAATCAGTTGAAAAAACTTATTCCTATAATATATGAAAACATTGTCTGATTATACCGGTATATCATATGTTGGGTCACTCTCATTCATATCAAAGAAAATAATATAAACTAATACAAAATATTGTAAAAAAGAGAAATAATGTCTAGGTAGATTTTAAAATATACAGTTTCACCAATAAAACCGGAGCTACAGAATGAAAGTCAACTTTAAATCTTTGGTTTTGCTTCTACTATTCACATTAACCGTCAGGAGGGCTAACTTAAACTTTAATAGTAGTGGAAAATGTGTCAGCATTGCGCATAACTCATGTTATGCAATGCGTATGATTGCTATATACACTCAGTTTCGAATTGTTTGTATTAATATTTATACAAACCAACCTAACTCAGAAAGCAAATCATGGAAAAAGAGTTTCGATGCAGCAACACAAAGTAGACATTTATATCATTGTTATTTTATTTCACTACACTTCAGTCGAGTAGAAGATATCAGTGTCGTATAACCATATTACTTAATACTAGTCCAACAAAAAGAAGAAGTAAATCACTTGTACATGAATTGTTTCCATGACTATTGATAGGATCTCTTTAGTAGCTCTTTTGTACGCACACAACTCCACTAATATTGAAATTATTTTTCCTACCTCAACTAATTCAAGTGAAAGTGATGTTTCAATCAATTAATTCATTACTAATCCTGTATGAGAAGAGCATTGTGTATTATAAATTGCATAACAGATAACACATTTTTAGAAGACATTCAAAATTTACTTTTGTAGGAAGTACATCCTCTGTTGTTGATCGAAAAATCAATTATTAGTCGGTCATAATGATAAAATACAGTAAAGCAAGATATTTTGGAGATATTAAAATTTGTCTCGATCTATCATAAAGTAGAAAAACTGTTCTAGAAGTTGATATAAGTCTCTTTCCATGCGCTTTTATTCTTGTTAAAGTCATAAGTGAATATGAATTATTCACACAAGCTAGAAGATCAAACAGAGTACGTGGAATATTTTCTACAGGTCGAATAATGATACGATGTCATAAAATAGTCAAGAAATAGAAAAAGTCAAAACTAAAGAATTATGTATACTCCAAACAGTGTGGTATCGTATTTCTTTTATGTTTCACAATTCTTCTTTTATTGTGTAGTTTTTGAAAATAAATCGATAAATCATGGAACGCCTTTTTGATAAAGATTAACAGAGTACTATATTTTCAATCTTTAGGCATGTGGTTTCAGTCAACCTAACTAATAAGTAAAGAGTTACGGGATTTTTATAATAATCATTATGAATATTGATATTGAATCGATTGGTTGACAACTGAGTAATTGAATAATATCTTGAAGAAAAGATCCTCGAACATGAATTGTTCTTCTGTTGACTTTTGTTATATAAACAAACAAAAAAATACTGATAGAATAAAGTTACATCAATTGCTGGTAAAACAATTACAAAAAATAAATACACTATTTTCTATGTTAAATATTTTAACACGCTAGGTATTAAAACGAGCTTCAATGGAGAATAAGCTTTTAGCATGTCATGAAGTAACATACTTATCTGCAAGTGTAAGAAGAAGCCCAAAAACTTTTGCCCTCATTTTGTTCATAGCTTTTATACTCCTTTAAGCTATCAATTTTATTCTTATTATAGACTAATAGACAAAAATATTAAAAAACGATGATGACTTAGATTCGACTTGTCGATTATTACTGAGTGTTAATGTGAATCCTTCCTACACCACATAACATTGACACTGACTGAACCTGATTTCCGGTAGGGTACCAGGAGAAGGTAAGAATCCATGTCCTAAAACCGTCACCGAAATGGTTACTAGGATCGTATACGAAGCCGACACTGTAGCTGAGAATGCGACTGGGTCTCTGAGTTCTCTCTGAAGTAGATATCAAAGCTGAGACTAATAGTGCAACCACAACTGAAACTGGGAATGAACTGAGGACTTTTAATGAAAACTCGACACTGTGATACAGAAAGCGGGTAAACTTCGGATTCAGTCTGCAGCCGCGAGCTCATGTGAATTTCCCAAACTGTTACGAAAATAAGGCCGTGGTCGGGATCAAGTCAACAATTTTTTTTAAACATTCAGTTTATTGTTCCATAAAGGTTAACATTTGATAAGAACATGTATCTATACGCACATTACAAGGATATATATTTAATAAAAGAAATCATTCTACCCATAAAAATCAAATTTTAAATCTTTGTCCTTATTTACGGTGGTTTCACACAGAAATATTTCAGGACAAAATATTCTAGAGTTAGGCTTGACTTTTTAAAAAATCCATATTGTTCTCTATGAATATCAATGAAAGATATCACATCCAAATATATATGTTTTGCACGTTCAGCAAGTCTTTTATGGAAACGACTATTTTTCCTAAAGTTCATACTATTGTAATACGTTTTAAACGGAGATTTCGCAAGGACGTAAGTAGTTAACGTTTGTCTGTAAGTGCCTGCTTCAGGGGTTGTATCCAAATGATTTTGAAATCTTATCCAATATTTAAATAAATAGTCACGCATAGAAAGTTCGTGACTTGACGCAAGGGTAGCGAGATCGTCATACTCCCAAAGGGAATCCACAAACCTTAGATCTGTTCCAAAAGCGTGTTCAATTTTTGGTTTTTGTTTCTGAGTAAAATGAAAAGAGCAAAAAAATAGCCAGATGAATTGAGAAAGGGAAAAAGCGAGAAATAGTCTTCTTTTTATCTTAATCTCGTTTTGTGGGATTGTATGGAATATTTTTCTCAAGCCATTGTACGACTTCCTCACTTTTTGCAATCTATCTTCTATAAATTTTCCCCACCCTAATTTTGCACAAATATGGACTCCTAAGCATTTGAAATTTGTTACATACTGAATCTGAATTCCTTTATATACAATTTCAGGTTTTCAGATCACTACCGCGTTATGAATTAACATTGCTTTTGTTTTTGCAACGTTCACTGGAAGAATATAGTTATCCGAAAATTTTTCTAGAATATTCAAAACTGTTCTAGCTTGAGATTGAAGGTATTTTATATAACTAGGTAGGCGTTTTTCTAAATCACTTTATATAATAAGTGTTACATCATCTGCAAAAAGATGACTTACAATCTGAGGAAAGTGCGGAGTCAAAAAATGCACGTGCAATCTAAATAAAAGAACAGCAAGCACACTTCCTTGTGGTACTCCTACTAAAATAGGAAGTAATCTGGACTTTGAGTCACCGTGAGATACTCTCATCCACCTATTTTGAAGCCAATTAAGAATCCACTTCCTCAATTCAATAGGCATTTCAAATTTTTCTAGAGTATAGAACAATGCTGGCCACCATACACAGTCAAAAGCTGTTGAAAAATCTATAAAAAGCGCTAGGGCTGCACTATTAGGTGCAGCAATAGTTAATCTCAAAATCTTCTGCTATTCCTAAAATACGAGATTGCAACCGTTTTTTAGCGGTAAAGTCTGATTGTTGATCCAAGTGGATACCTTGATCATTGCATCATTTTTCAATTCTGGCTACTAAAACTCTTTCGAAAACTTTTCCGAGATTGGAAAGAAGTGAGATAGAACGAAGACGATCTATAGTTGAGAATACATCGTCTTTAGAAAGAAAAGTACCTTTTGAAATTTTGACTCCTTCAAAAAATTTGCCATCAGCCGCGCATTTGTTGAAGAGAACTGTAATTGTACATAAATACTGAGATGGAACTTGTTTAAGTAAGAACGCAGATTTTTCTACGCTATCCAATGACTTTTTGGGAGTGAATTTCTTCCGCTGCAAAATAACTACCTAAATCTTTATCTGATCTAAAGGAAGATTTGAAAAATGTTTAATATTTTCATATGCTTCTAAACATTTCGAATGAAAGTAATTCTTACTATCAGATGTTGGTTCAGCAAAGTGTTTCTCATAGCAATTTGCTAATTGATCTGCAATTTCTTGATTATTTTTCACTACACCATTTGGTGTTTTAAGTCCTCTGAACGCTGGTGAATACGATTTAAAAATTTGACGTACATGAGACCAAATATTTTGATCATCTTTCATTTGTTAAAGTTTCTTTTCTATCTTTTCTTGTTCAAACTTAAGTTTTTCTTATTTGTATATATTTTCGCAATATTTAAATGTTTTATAATCTTCAAAAAATCTAGTTTTTCTAAATCTTCTTTTAAATTTGTTTACTGTTCTGAGTAATTCTACCAGGTAAAATAGCCAAGAAGGTCTAAAATGTTTAATTTGTTCAAAATTGGTACATCCATTATTCAAGGCTGCTAGAAAGGGAGAAAAAATGTCAAAGAAAGTATTATAATCTATTTCGTATACAATTGTATTCCAATAGCAATGTACTACTTCAAGAAAAAACGTGAAAAGTTTCCAGTTTGTTTTCCTAAAAACACCATTTTTAGTAACAGGAAAGAGTGATAAAAACAATACAGGATAATGATCCGAGTTACCCTCAAGGAGTCTCTGAATCTCCCAATTTTCTTTATTTCTTCCTATTCTAAAATCAATTACACAGTTCGATCTTTTTGAAGTTGGGTGGCAAGGATGTAAGGTTTCAAAACCATTATCAATTAACCATTCTTTTAATTTAATAACGTAGATATTTGCAATGAGAATTTTTTCATCCATAATTTCCATTTGAATCAAGACAAAGTTAACTGTTTCTTCTATTAACGAAGTTCTCAGTTTTTGATGAACTAAAATTCCAACACTACCGAAACTATTCGTTCCTTTCGCACTGTACCATTTAAAATTAGGAACATGTTCTATTCATAAAACATAGAAAAAAAGGATATCTTTCTCAACGTCAGTTCCATTGAAATGATTAATTATCTCAGGATTAATATAAATCATATGTTTTTTAATTTCTTCACTATCCATTTATGAGTTGAAACATACTGTTCATAGCTGTTACCATAGCTTCATTTTGTTTGTAAGAAATCATTTTCAGTTCTTCTTGATGACGATAAAATTCATTGTACACTGCGTTTATGCAGGATATTTGATTATTTATTCATTCATACATCTCATCAAGTTCAATATTTCTTACATGTGTTTTTAATTGTGTAATAACTAATTGTAAATTCTCTAATGATTTGCCACAT